TCTCCATTGATGCAGCTGACAACTTCGTTCTCTGCTTTGGGCCTTTTTCATTGGCATAATTCGACACAGCCTTTTGTAGGTATTTTTTCACCCACTGAAGGCATGCCCTGTATTTTTCTGAAATTAAGTGAATACCGTTTAACAATCCACTTTGTTTCTTTTTGCATTATTTTTATCTGTAAAATGTCTATAAAAATGCACGGTCGGTGCAATATTTTTGTTTTTGTAGCTGTGTATGCATGAGCAGATAGTATCCATAAAGGCAAGCGTTGAGCGACGTGCAGTTTATGACAACGGAAACGATCAAGCACCTTCGAGTATCGGCATGCAAAAGCGAAAACTTTACTTCAGTGCTGGTAATCCTTTTTATGCGTTTTTGCATGTATGTAAATTGCAAAAACGCATATTGGAAAAGGGCTGTCTGTGTGTTCGCACTTTTTTTTCATTCACTTTCAACCCCAGAACCAAGCTAGAAGCTAGAAGGCTGAAACTTTGAAATTATGTACCCATATCATGCGCGACCCTCCCGTTTTAATATTATCATCCGCGGACGCCTGAGTGCCGCGTACGGACGCTTTTAAAAAGTATGCAAAATTTTTGGCGGGGAAGCGATCTCGGGAACCAGACAAGGTAAGGGGCTGAAACTTTGTAGGGATATCCCATATGCATGTGTTAGCTAAAGATTTCAAAATCAGCCCCCAGACATGCGTAGTACTCGCATAAGGGTGTATGAAAGTTTTGGTGGGAAAATTGCCAACTTGGGGACCAGGAAAGCTAGAGAGCTAAAATTTTAAGGGAATGTCCCCTGTCCAAGTAAAATTTAAATATTTCAAATTCAGCCCTCAGGCATGCATGGTTCTCACGTACGAGCACGTGAAAGATTTGGTAGGAGAATTGCTAACTCGGTAACCAGAAAAGTTGGAAGGCTGAAATTTTAGGAGGATGTTCCCTGCTCAAGTGCAATTTAAAGATTTCAAATCTAGCTTCCTTGGCACGTGGAGTACCCACGTACGGGCATCTGGAAGTTTTGACGGGAAAATTACTAATTCGGGAGCCAGAAAAGCTAGAAGGCTAAAATTCGAGGAGGGGGAGGGGAGAGGGGTGTTCCCTGTCCAAATACAACTTAAACATTTCAAATTCAGCCTTCAGTTATGCGTGGTTCTCACCTATAGGCACTCGAAAGTTTGGCGGGAAAATTGCTCACTGAACAGCTAGGTTACTTTCAATGAACGACCGTTAAATGGAAATTGTTCGTTTACTTTATGCAAAATTTATGGTGATTTACGCTAGTGAGCGCAAAAGGTAGGCATAAAGCAACAACCATTCATGCGGTTGGGTACATTCATATACTTCAAGTTTTTTGCAAAAACGCATGATCGCATCGGCAAGCCTAGTGCGTTTCTACCTGGGTTTTAAATTAACATGCTTAAAAGCAAGAAGTTTTATGGCGAATTCTTGTCTTAGCTCTCGTTTGTGTGCACTTCTGCTTCCTAAATCCAGTTTGCTAACTCCGACAGCTAGAACATTGAAATTTCTGATATACTGCTCTTCATTATGTGCGGACACAAAGCTGAAACCAATTTCCAATCTCTTTGTCCTGCTCCGCAACCCCACGTCCTAGTCCGAGGGGCGTTACAACTTGGATACCAAAAAAACTGTAAATCTAAATCCTCAGGGTTTCAGTTCAATATAAACGGGAAAAATCTGTTTTAAAATTTTACTATTTCTTTATTCATTTAATGTTAATTACAGATTTCTTCGAGCCAGAACTAATGGCGAATCCACCTCTGTTGGCTGTCCAATTTGTATACGAGTTGCGAAAGATGATTGATGTAGCAAAGGATCGAATTCGAATGAAACGACATGTTCCAACCCTAACGACCATCACTGAGAACGGCGAAAGTGATGAATATCTTGAAATACCGCGTCCACCGAGCAGAATGCATGAGCGTTCTGAGGAACCATCGCCAAAATCATTAAATTCAGTAGATTCTGGATGCGATTCGATGAGTGACGAAGATGCACAAAACCAGCAAGTTCACGAGAAGGCGCATGATGATAATCAGCATGAAATCAAGGACACAGTGGAGCATGTCGAAATGGGGGATGCGGCAGGCAAACAGCAGAACTTCCATGAAACACAAACCGTACAGCAATGTGCTGCGGTGCCCAGCAAAATTCCTGTAATTAGCAGTTTGTTGCCACGGCCAGTAACAGCCACCAAAGTGGCGCCGCTGTCCAGGATACCGACAATGGCTTCATCCCGAACGATGTCTTCCACAGTGACACCACTGCGGTATTCTCAAAAAGCAAATTTCGAAACTGGAG